CCCAACATCCACAACTTCTTTTTTTTTTTTTAATTTTTTTAAACGTTTATTTATTTTTGAGACAGAGAGAGACAGAGCATGAACGGGGGAGGGGCAGAGAGAGAGGGAGACACAGAATCTGAAGCAGGCTCCAGGCTCTGAGCCATCAGCCCAGAGCCCGACGCGGGGCTCGAACTCACGGACTGCGAGATTGTGACCTGAGCTGAAGTCGGACGCTTAACCGACTGAGCCACCCAGGGGCCCCTTAACATCCACAACTTCTTGACCACAACCAGCCACTGGCTCTTCCCAACCTTTTTGCGGGAAGCAAGAATGGGGGCCAGGAAGTACAGTGGGAATGAGTGTCGGGCATACAGTACCATTCCACCGTAGTCCTCAAAGCAGGAAGAACTGGAATGTTTGGTAAAAAGCACTTAAGAATATCAGAGTGGGGAAGAGTGGGAGAACCTACCACTGGCAGAAAAGAAGCTGTCTAGTTTTTATCTATTATCACAAGAATGATACAAAAGTTCCTTTGACTGTCATCTGAGTGAGGGATTTGGGAGCTACAGACCGGCTGTTTGAACTTTACAAAATGTCTTCAACTCCCTCTGTAGTTGTCTCTTCTGTTACTTTCTGGTTATCTCTGTGTTTAGAGGGGAAGAGGGGGAGGGTGGGAGAAAAATACTGAAAATTCAAAGAGCTGGCATGTATACTGATAGGGAGGAGCTGGGAGATGGATTCCTTTGCCAGACCAGTCCTGTGGAAAAAGTAACCTCGGGGGACTGCATTAGTAGTGGCAGGCAGCATCCAAGGGTAAAAGAGGTGGCCTAGCTTTAATGCTCACCGGAGGGAAGAAGAGGGAAATTTCCCTGGGGGTTTAGCAGATGAAACAGCCGCATCTAGCACAGGGTACTGTATACAGTAGGCACTCTGTAAATGTTTATGTGTGGATTTTTCCCTCTATTCTTAGTAATTAGGAGAATATTTAAACATTGTTAAATTAATTAATGGATTTATTCTTGTAGCGGAGGTGAAACGTGTTGGAGATACCCTTCTGGGTATGGCCACACAGTGTGTCCAGGTAAAAAATGTGGTGAAGACCTCACCCCAAACCCTTTCCAACCTTTGCCTGAAGATAAATGCAAAGCTCGGAGGAATTAACAATGTGCTTGTACCTCATCAAAGGTAAGATTCTGAACTCTGTTTTTTTCCACTCTTGCATTATATAAGATCGAATGTAACATAATTCACAATAAAGCACACAAATCTCAAACATGCATCTCAATTACTTTTTCTTATATATGTATGAATGCACTCATGTAACCACTACTCAGGTGAAGACGTAGAAAATTTCCGGGACCTCGTCAGGCTTCCTTGTGGCCCTTCCCAGCAGAGAACCCCCAGAAGTTAACACTCTCACCATAGATTGGTTTTGCCTGTTTTTGAACTTCATGTAAATGGAACCGTACTACATGTCATGTTTTATGCCCGTCTTCTTTTCCTCATCATTATGTGTCTGGAATTCATTCATGTTACTGTATTAAGTAGTCATTTGTTCTTTTTCATTGTTGTGTATTATTTCATTATGTAAATATACCACAGAATTTTAATCTGTTCTGCCATTGATGGATATTCTTATATATTCATTATACATTTTTTCTACATTTTTGGTAGAATTTAAGTACTCTTTCTCTTGAGTGTATATCCAAGAGCAGAATTGTTAAGTTATTGAGAATACATGTGTTTAAAAAAATTTTTTTAACGTTTATTTATTTTTGAGACAGAGAGAGACAGAGCATGAATGGGGGAGGGTCAGAGAGAGAGAGACATAGAATCTGAAACAGGCTCCAGGCTCTGAGCTGTCAGCACAGAGCCCGACACGGGGCTCGAACTCACAGACCGCGAGGTCATGACCTGAGCCGAAGTCGGCCACTTAACCAACTGAGCCACCCAGGCGCCCCGAGAATACATGTATTTAGCATCGATAGATGCTGTCAAATAATTTTCCAGAGTGGTTGTACCAGTTTACGTTTCTGCTGAGAGTTCTGGTTGCTCCATATTCTCACCAACACTTGGTAGTATCAGTCCTTTTAACTTTAGCCATTTTGTTTGGGTGTAATAGTATCTCGTTATGGTTTTAATTTGCATCCCCCTAATGATTAATCCGTTGAGCACAATTTCATATGTTTGTTGGTTATTTGGATATCCTCTTTTGTGATGGGTTTGTTCAGTTCTTTGCCCATTTCTTTATTAATCTTTTCATTAATTTGTAGTTTCCCTATCTATTGAGATAATATCTGACTTGTTAACTCTGAAATGTTTCCATGTGGGGGCACCTGGATGGCTCAGTTGGTTAAGTGTCCAACTCTTGGTTTCAGCTCAGTTCATGATCTTGTGGCTCTGTGGATCCAAGCCCTACATCAGGCTCTGCACTGGCAGTGCGGAGCCTGCTTGGGATTCTCTCTCTCTCCATCTCTCTGTGCCTCTCCCTCACTTGTGCTGTCTCCATCTCTCTGAAAATAAATAAACTTAAAAAGAATATTTTCATGTGAAATTCTGTATGTGAAAGCAATTTGAAAAGATAAATTTAGGGCTGTGGTATTAGTCATTGCTATACTTAACAAGAATGTGAAATTGAGTGCCTTGATGTTAGTACAATCATATTCCAATTCTTAATTTTCCCTTGAATGAAGCGTATAGGTAACAAAATCCTTCCTACAACGTTGGTAGATGAGGTCTGCAGGCCATATGGGAAGTTAAGCTAAAATCTGAAATCATTTCATTTCACCCCAAACATTTGAGACTATATAGCATAGTAGCCTAGAGTGCATACTTTGGTGTCTGACTTCCTAAGGTTTGGATTCCAACTTTACCACTTCCAAGTTATGTAAGCTTGGGTGACCCCCTTATTCTCTTCTGTCTCATTTTTTAAATACGGAAAATTGAGATGATAATTGTACCACCCTCATGGAATTTTTCTGAGGACTAAATCAGTCAATACAGGTAAAGTGCTTAGCACAGTGACTGGTACATAGTGTATGTAAGATGTTACTATGTTACACATATGTATGTGATAGATACATGCCGTTGTACTGCTCTCTGCCAGACCCATGTTGCATAACGATACATACAGAGAAATCTCGCACAGCCTCTGCCCTCATGGAGGTATCTATTCTTTAGTACCCATTATAGGAGATTTTTAGATTTGGGATGTCTCCTATATTATACTTAAATAGTTAGAACTCAATTCCAAGTCCTACCTTAAAGAATTTACCAGAGAAGGATGCATTATATTTTTCTCCTTGATTCCTTAGAAAAATCAGTGCCAAATAAATGAATTCATTCTTTCAACAAATATTTATTGAGTGCCAACCTTGAGCTAGGCAGTGTTCTAGGCACTAGGGATGCTTCAATGAACAAGACAAAACAAAACAAAATTCTTGCCCTTGTGGAACTTATATTCGTGTGTGTGTGTGTGTGTGTGTGTGTGTGTGTGTGTGTAGACAATAAATAAAATAATTTACTGGGGCGTCTGGCTGGCTCAGTCATTAGAGCATGTGACTCTTGATCTCAGGGTTATGAGTTCAAGCCCCACAATGGGTGTAGAGATTACTTAAAAATAAAATCTTAAATAATCAAGTAAAATATGTGGTGTAAGTGATGAATACTACAGATTAAAATAGGGAAGTAGATAGACTCGATTCTCTTCTCTAAGCCTCACATCTTAAAGAGCATTGAGGTCTCTCTTTCTCTCTCTCTCAAAATAAATAAACAAATAAATAAATTTTTAAAAAAATGGGGTGCCTGGGTGGCTCAGTCAGTTAAGCGTCTAACTCTTGGTTTCCGCTCAGGTCATGATCTCACAGTTTGTGTGTTTGAGCCCTACATCAGGCTCTGCTCTGATAGCTCAGAACTTGCTTGGGATTCTTTCTCTCTCCCTCTCTCTCTTCCCCTCCCCCACTTGCACTCACACACTCTCTCTCTCAAAATAAATAAATAAACAAAAAAAAAAAAATTAAAGAGCACTGGGGGATTTTGTTCCAGTTCCGTGTACATTCTGCATTTCTATATCTGCTGTGGGAATACTAGGATCCAAGAGTACTTGTTCTGGTCTTCCCTTTACACAGAGATTTTATTAAATTCAGCTCAGGTCCTCTTTGTTAATTCTTCCCTTCCTGCTATTATAGAAGAACCATGTTGTCTTCTTAAGTCAATTCAGATTCATTGCAGGAGAGGCACAAACACTCAGTGGCCCTTAGAGTTCTTACCTAATGGGCACAGGTCTTCGTTCCCTTTTGTAAGATTATATCTGTGATTGTATCTGGTGAGCTTGCTAAACACAGACATTTTCATCTGTATGTTTCCTTCAATCTGAGCAGGCCCTCGGTGTTCCAGCAGCCTGTCATCTTCCTGGGAGCCGATGTCACGCACCCCCCAGCAGGGGATGGGAAGAAGCCTTCCATTGCTGCTGTCGTTGGCAGTATGGATGGGCACCCCAGCCGGTACTGTGCCACTGTTCGGGTGCAGACCTCCCGCCAGGAGATCTCCCAGGAGCTCCTCTATAGTCAGGAGGTAATTCAGGACCTTACTAACATGGTTCGAGAGCTGCTGATCCAGTTCTACAAATCCACACGCTTCAAACCCACTCGGATCATCTATTACCGTGGAGGGGTATCCGAGGGACAAATGAAACAGGTACTCTGATTACCCATAGTTGCCTTTTGGGGTTTCTAGGTATCTGATGGAGCTTCCTCCCATCTGCCACTCTGGGTAAATCAGATCTGAGAGATGCTAGGTGAGTTCTCAATTAAACCTCATTCTGTTTGTAACTCCTAGGTAGCTTGGCCAGAGCTAATAGCAATTCGGAAGGCATGTATTAGCTTGGAAGAAGATTATCGGCCAGGAATAACCTATATTGTGGTGCAGAAAAGACATCACACACGACTCTTCTGTGCAGATAAAACAGAAAGGGTAAGAAACCATGATATAAGCTTCATTATCTGGCACAAGTGAATACGTTTTTAAATGGGCATATGTACTTTTTTTCCTAAAAGCAGAAGTGTAATAATAAGTTAATATATTAACTCCAGTTGAGCTTAGATGATCACTTCTGAATGATACAGGTTTTAAGACTGAGTATTTCTCCTGTATGACAGAAGTGCTGGCTTCTAGAGTTGTTTGGCAGAGGCCAAAAACGGACCAGACATGCTGTAGTGATACAGGCAACCTGCAAGGGGCTGGTTTTTCTACTTGAATTTTTTTTTTAATTTTTTAAATGTTTATTTATTTTTGAGACAGAGACACACACAGAGTGTGAGCGGGGGAGGGGCAGAGAAAGAAGGAGACACAGACTCCGAAGCAGGCTCCAGGCTCCAAGCTGTCAGCACAGAGCCCGATGCGGGGCTCGAACCCACGAAGCGTGAGATCATGAGCTGAGTCGAAGTCAGATGCTTAACCAACTGAGCCACCCAGGCACCCCTCTCTGGACTTTATTATCATATTGCTACTTTTTGTTACCAATGCCTAAGGCATAGTTCTAGGATATAAAGTAGAATTTCTCTTCCAAATGATTTTATATCAGTGCATGGGATTCTTGAGATACACACTTTGAACACTTATAATGTTATACTTTCTAACCATGGGCAAGTTAACTTCTCTAAGCCATAATGTTCTCAACTGTAAAATGTAATAAGAATACCTATCTCACAGGGTTGTTATAAGGATTAAATTAATAAGTGAATATTAATTCGGGGTACAGTTCCCAGCACTTGATGAGAGGTATTTTGTGTACTCGATTTATAATGTTATTTAGGTGTAAACTAGCTAAATTATAGGTATTTAATATTGAGTGACTCTGCTTCTGTGCTATTTTCTATGACATTACTTCATCTTTTCCAAGCCTTCCCTGATCCACCCCAGAGAGACCAGTTCTTTCTGTTGCTTAATCTTGTAATCTTGTGGGTCACTCCCATTATTTTCTAGTACGCCCTTAGTTTTTGTCTCTAATCCAAGGCTGAGCTGTTTCTTTTCGTTTTCAGAATCATTGGAAAACAAGATTTTCTCCTTCGGCTCCAGTTCCACCAATCAGCTCATATTCCAAGTGTTGTCTTCTGAATTGTCCAAACCCTGACTCAGTAGTGCTTCTTAGATCCCTTCTAATACAAATTCTCCAAACTCTTGCCCAAACTCTGGTCACAGAATACCCCGCCACCCCCTCCTTAACTGCATCATCACCTCTCTGTCCCTCTGTCAGCTTGTTGTCCATGTAGCTCTAGGACCTGGATTATTTTCCTAAAACCCAAGCTATCTCATCATTTTGTTCTTTGCCATCCCATGTCATTCCTAACCTTCCAAAGATTGATAATCCTGGTCCTTAGTCTACCCTGCTGCCTTGACACTTACCAACATCTCCAGTTTTCTAAACATGCCTTTTGCCAATCTCTAGCTCTGGGTCAGTCCACTTACCCATTTCCTTTGCTTCAACTCAGGCCAGTAGAGAGATTGCTGAGGAAGAAAGTCATTTGTTTAATAAGAATGATATTACAGACTGATGATATCAAATCTCAGACAACCCTGGAGGCTGCAGTTTCTCTGTTCCTCCAGTTCCCCACAGCGTGTATTCCAAACCTTCACACTCCTCAACAACCTGTCCCAATCTGCGATGCCTTCCCTGGCAACACTCTACCTTGCCAGCAATAGAACAACCCTCTATTTCCCCAGTAAACAAAATCTAGAAGGCATAAATTTTCTCAACTTACTCTCCCCTACTTTCAAATGTACTGAAATGTGTTTTCTTTTCTCTATGCTCTCACATCTCAGAGGCTAAGCTCTCCACCTGGACTTTAGTTCCTAAAGGAACACTTCATTAATTACCGTGGTTTTTCAAAACTCCTGTTCCTTCTTCTCACCCTCTAAAGTTCCTCAACTCTTCCTAGGTTCCCCTCACTAAACTTCCCTTTACTCTGCTTATCTTTCTTTTATTTCATGACCAAAATAGAGGAAAACTGACTTGACTTTCCATCTGTACCTTCTTACATATTACATCAATTCTCTGTAGCCTGACTTCAGTTTTAATGATTCTACTGAAGTTCTTTGCTCAGTGACTTGCTCATTTCGAATCTAGTGATATCTTATCAGGTTCTTACGCTGACCTCTTCGCCTCAGCAATAATATGACTTTCCAGATTCAGTGCCCTCCTCTATAATCAGGCTTTTTTTTGACTCCTCTTCCTCTGTCCATTAAACACTGACATTTCCAGGCATTTCATACTTTTCTTCCTCTTCTCTTCTGAATTTGAACTTTCTTTAGTCTCACCCACTTTTCTGCATGCATTGATTTTCTTAGAGATTCCTAAATTTGTATTCCCAGCCACAAACATTTCTATGCAGTTCCTGACCTTCACCTCCAATTGTCTACCAGACACATTTACTTAGATGCTCTGTAGACACTGTATCAGCAAGATAGGCTAGACTGTGGTAACAAAAAAACTCCAAAGTCTTAGTGGCTTACAAAGATGTATTTCTTGCTTATATCACATACCCACTGTGGCTCTGCTGCAGCTGTGACCCTGATGTCCTCCTTTTGGAACCTAGGCTGACAGAGAAGAATCTATCTTGAACATCACCAGTCATTGCAGCAGAGGGGGAGAAAGATACGCACAAGCCATATGCTGGCTCTTAAAGCTTCTGCCCAGAAGTTACACATTTCAGACCACATTTTACAGCCAAAGCAAGTTACATGGCCATTCCTGAGTTAATTGGGTGGGGATGTATAATCCTCCCCCAGGGAAGGGCATGGGAATTTTTGGCACTAGTGATACAATCTACCACAGGCATTTCAAGCAAAACACGTCTAAACCTTCTACTTATTGTTTTATCCTCATCCAAAGCCTATTCCTCCCCCAATTTTCCTTTTCTTCTGTGACTTGGCATCACTGTACATTGATTCAGCCAAGCTAGGAACTTCAGAGTTGTCTTTAAACTCTGCTTCTTTCCTCTCCCCCCATATCCAGTTGGTCAAATGGTCTTCTGTGTTCTGCCCCGAAATCTCTTGACTTAATTCTTCCTCTTGTGTGTTCCCTCTGGCCTAGGCAGAACCTTCCGTTTTGCAGGAGACTCCTAGTGGTCTCCCCACCTTCACAGATGCACCCTCAACCTGCCGTCAGAGCTATGTTTAAAAAATACAGATCTCAAGGTGCCTGGCTGACTCAGTTGGTAGAGCATGTGACTCTTGATCTTGGGGGTGTGAGTTCAAGCCGCACATTGGGTGTAGAGCTTACTTAAAAAAATACGTATCATACCTTGCCAATCTACTATTCAGAAACCTTCATGCATCCTCCATTGCCTGCCAGATACTTCCCTTTGGCGTTCATTGCTTTCCTAAGGTAGCTCAAACATAACATTTTAGTTTCATCTTTCCACAATACCTTCATACACCATCCATTTCCCACATGATGCATTTGAATCCCTGGGATGACCACATCCATCCCACTCTTTTTATTTCCCCCACTATTTTTATTAAGGTATAATGTAGATACCGTAAAATCCACGTTTTTTTAATTTTTTTTTTAACGTTTATTTATTTTTGAGACAGAGACAGAGCATGAATGGGGGAGGGGCAGAGAGAGAGGGAGACACAGAATCAGAAGCAGGCTCCAGGCTCTGAGCCATCAGCCCAGAGCCCGACGTGGGGCTCGAACTCACGGACCGCGAGATCGTGACCTGAGCTGAAGTCGGACGCTTAACCGACTGAGCCACCCAGGCGCCCCATAATCCACGTTTTTGGTGTACTGTTTTGCAAGTTGTGACAAATGCATATAGTTGTGTAACCACCATGTCTATGAAGACATAAACAATATATCACACACACACATTTTTCCAAGCCCTCTGCAGTCAACCCTTTCCCTCACCTACAGCCCCTAGCAACCACTGACAGACGTTCTGTCCTTATAGTTTTGTTTTTTTCCAGAATGAAATATAAGTGGGATACCATAGCCTGTGGTCTGGTTTCTTTTACTTAGCATAATACATTTGAGATTCATCCAAGTTTATCATGTAAATCAGCAGTTTATTCCTTTTCATTGCTTAGTATTCCTCCTATGGCTGAACCACAGTTTATCTCTTCCTGACTTTAGGGGATATTTGGAGTGTTGCCTGTTTTCATCCCATCCCCCTTTTCAACTCCTGCTCATCCTATAAAGGATGGCTCAACTCTTTGCTCCCACCAGCATTTTCCAGTGCCTTCCATAATGCCCTTATCACACTGCATTGCAATTCATTGCAGATGGTGTTCATGAAGGGCAGGAATGCAAGTTCATTAGTTCTCTCCATGCCTCCATCTCTCATCCCCAACATCTGCTGCAGAGCCTTGCACATGGGTGCTCAAGCAGTAATTGTTGAGTTAAACATGCCTGGATCCCTTTTTCCCGAGGGCAGTATCTCCTTAGATTCTCATCTGTTGATTCCAAGAGAGTTGTTTCAAAAAAGATTCTAAGGTCAAATAAGTTTGGGAAATACTATGTCCACCACCTCCCTCGCAAAGATTATACATTACTGAATAAAGGTTCTGAGAAATCCTACAACAGAAAAACCGTTTTAACTTGAGTTCAACCCAGTATTTCTCAAATCTCTTTGACCATAAAATACCTAAATGCATCCTGCAGAACTAATATTCCTCAAGTACACACTTTGGGAAACAATGCCAGAACTAGTATAACTCCTTTACATTTCCTCTTGCCCAACTAGGTCCCCAAGTTCATATTTGAATTTGATAGAATGAGACTTTTCTCTACTCATAAATGTTCTTGTACACATTGGTATACAATTCAGCTGAAGGTAATGGTAGTTAGAATAGAGCCAAATAAACTCCCATCAAATTCATGCCTCAATGCAAAATAAACTTCCTCATACGGAACCCTGCTGTATATCACAAGAGGATGAAAACTGACCAAATACCAAGGTTTAATTCCTTTACTTGTAAATGCATTTCTGAAGTTCCCCCCTCTACTTTCCTAGAAATTTGATTTTAAAACTTTGGCTATCATTGAACCTTACAATTTAGAATTTTAAAAGTGTTTCATAGCTAGTTTTATAGCTGATTAGATTAAGACCTAAAGATGTTATGTTTTGTTCAAGGTATGTAGTTGCAAGACTAGCCTTGGAACTGACACCCTGGTTTTCCTAATTCCCATTTCAGAGTACTCTTACCGATAATGCACGTGCCAGTGACTTCTTTTATTGATTCTGTCAAAGCATTACTTTTTTTTTTTTAATTTTTTTAGTGTTTATTATTTTTGAGAGAGAGACAGAGCACAAGTCAGGGAGGGGCAGAGAGAGAGGGAGACACAGAAACAGAAGCAGGCTCCAGGCTCCAGGCTCTGAGCTGTCAGCCACAGAGCCCAACACAGGGCTCAAACCCACAAAGTGTGAGATTATGACCTGAGCTGAAGTTGGACGCTTAACTGACTGAACCACCCAGGTGCCCCAAAACCATTACTTTTGTTGAGCCTGGTGTACCAGTACAAAGATTTATTCATCTTAACTTTTTTTTTAAGTTTTCTTTTTAATTTTGTTAATGTTTATTTACATTGGAGAGAGACAGAGACAGAGCATGAATAGAGAAGGTGCAGAGAGAGAGAGGAAGATACAGAGTAGGAAATAGGCTCCAGGCTCCAAGCTGTCAGCACTTAGCCCAATGTGGGGCTTGAACTCACGAATGGTGAGATCATGACCTGAGCCAAAGTTGGATGCTTGACTGACCGAGCCACCCAGGTACCCCGCTTCATCTTAACTTGTAATGAAAGTTGTGTATATTTTTTTTACTCCAAGTAAGAAATAAAGTTGCATTTTGGGGGGAGGGGGGCACCTGGGTGGCTCAGTTGCATCCAACTCTTGATTTTGGCTCACGTCATGATCTTATGGTTCGTGGGTTCGAGCCCCATGTCGGGCTCGAGCCCCATGTCGGGCTCTGTGCTGACAGTGCAGAGCCTGCTTGGGATTCTCTCTCTCCCTCTCTTTGCCCCTCCCCTGCTCATTTTCTCTCTCTCTCTCTCTCTCTCTCTCTTAAAATAAATAAACTTTTTTTTAAAAAGTTGATATTTTTTCACAGGAAGCTTATCCATTGCAAATGTCTTTACATCCCCTCTGTGAACAATGCCACTATGTCAATATGCCAATATATCATCTGCAAATAGATGACAATAATGCAACCCAAAGTCATAGGTAAAATAATTCTTTTTCTGGATTCCCTTATAGAAACAATGGAGTATTTTTGTTTGAGAAAATACTTAAGGATAAAGTGGTTGGACTAAGGAGAGTTACAGAAAATTCATCATGTTGAATTAAACTGATTTTCAAAACTTGCAAAAACTTTCAAAAGAACAGTTTGCTAACTTGTTACCAATTAACACATAAAAGGAAAGTATGGTCTGAGTTCAGTTTGGCATTTTGATGACTAATTATACCTCCCCCCACCTCTTTTTGTTTGTTTGTTTGTTTTGGTAGGTGGGGAAAAGTGGCAATGTACCAGCAGGCACTACAGTGGATAGCACCATCACACATCCATCTGAGTTTGACTTTTACCTCTGTAGTCATGCAGGAATTCAGGTAATTTGGAAGCTGGTTCAGATCTTTGACTTGATAAGGAGATGTTTGCAAACTGAGCAACCAGCTTGAGTAGACTTGTTATTCAACGCTATGCATCAGTTTGTTAATGCTTGTATTCTAGAACTGTTATCTTTCCTTCTGGGTATCTGCTTGTAGTTGTGCTAGGAAGGAATACTTCTGAATTTAAGGAGTGGATTTCAATTCTTGTCTCCTCTCAGGTAATTAAGCCATGTCAGAAATGTATTAATCATACAAGTCTCTCTCCAGGGAACCAGCCGTCCTTCCCATTACCAGGTCTTATGGGATGACAACTGCTTCACCGCAGATGAGCTCCAACTACTAACTTACCAGCTATGTCACACCTATGTGCGATGCACACGCTCCGTCTCCATTCCAGCTCCCGCATATTATGCCCGGCTTGTAGCATTCCGGGCAAGGTATCATCTGGTGGATAAGGATCATGACAGGCAAGTTTCTCAGGCACCATGAACTCTCTTTTTATCTGAGTCAGAAGCATGTTTTAAAAAAAAAAAAAAAAAAAGCTACTACAGAGGAGTAGAGCTACTTTTGGAAGAGCTAAACTTCCTTTTAGGATTTAAATTTCAAGAAGCAAATAAAATCATATGTGCCTTTGAGAGCTTGTAATGTGACTTTTGGTCCAAGAAGTGCTCAGGCTTGCTCATGCTTGCATGGTGTGTCTATACTCTGCCCAAGGGAAAAAGTCTAATTTGGAGCTGCCTGTGGTTTTCCCGTGGAACAAAATGCATTCGGTTCTGTTTAGGTCCTGAGCAGCCTCAGAGGTAGCAGGCACAGTGTCTTGACTCCAGTCCGAGTAGTCACAGGCCTGTGGATTCCACTTCACACAAGAGGAAGTCCTGAACATTTTGCTTTGCTTTCAGTGCAGTCTGGAAGAATGTACCAGAGTGAATTTGGGCATGTGTGTGGGAGAGGAAGGGTGCCAGACCATTTTTACCCCCAAATAGGGATCTCAGTAAGAATCAGACATTTTGACCTGTTACTGACGACTATTAAATAGCTGAACAAGCTCTCTGCATTAATTTTCTTTTCCAAATGACCATCTGTGAAGTGTAGCAGTTTCTGGGCTCTTCCCCAAGTCTGAATTCAGCTGCTAAATAGTAGACATTCCATTGCAAGTCTATTTCTGTAAGAGTTGAAAATACACTATTATGGAAAATGCCCAGCTGTGGCTTTATACCTTCCATTCTGTAATATACATTCATTCATTTAACACATTTATTAGGTATTGACTGTGTGCCCAGCACTGTGCTAGGTACTAAAAATAAAAATACTAAAATGGGGAAGACCTGCTTCCTGGGATTTTCTGTTTCAGTATGGCACACAAAACAGGCAAACGCAGAACTGACAATTAGCCTGAGGCAGTATAGGTGAGGGACCTCAGAAGAAAGGTTGTTAGAGAAGATTTCATAGCTGGATGGATGGGATTTGGCTCTGGAAAGAAGAGAAAAGGATTTTCCAGGCAGAGGGAACAATGGACAAAAGAGAAAGCAAGTGACATGTTTAGACAATAGCGAGTTTTCTTTGGCTAGAGCATATGAAGCTGAAAAAGTATGTCAGAGCAAGGTTGTCTTTGTTAAATGTAAAAAGCTACTTTGGGGATAAAATATCTGGTCCTTAACCATTAATCGGGCTTACATGGGAGAGAAGATGAAGTAAAAGATAACTAAGATTATGAGTTTAGATGATAAGGATGCTAATAATTTAGTAAATAATGATAAATAATTTAGTAAAGTAATTAAGTGGCAAAATTAATAAATTAAGTCAGAAGAAGGATGGTGTTTTTTTACAGTTTACTAAGCCCTTTGTAATACATGGCACCCTTAAGAGATATGTTCAGAAGTTATTATTGTTATCCTGAAAGACCAAAGTTCAGAGGAATTGTTACCTCTCCAAGATCATATAGCTAGTGAGAGGAAGATGAGAAGAGACTCACGGCATAGTGACATTTGCACAGTAACATGGTATGTTCCAGCACTGTGCTAGGCGCAGAAATTCATTTGTCAAATGGTTATTGAGGATATACCATGTGCCAGGCACCGGGGATTCGGTGGTGAGTAAGATAGACAAAGTCACTGCTTTCTTGGAGTTTACATTTACTGAGCAAAACATATAGCTAACTATCCAGTTACTAATTTCAATTGTGTTTAATACTATGAAAGAAAAATAGAGGATTCTGTGGAAGTATGTCTCAGGTGGCTCTGACCTGAACTTTGGAATCAGGGAAGACTTCTTTGAGGGAAATGACATCTGGCCGAAGCCTAAAGGACAGGTTGGCTTTAACCAGACATAGGGGGCAGTAGAAGTCCTAATGTAAGCACTGTTAAGGATTTGGGTCTTTGTAGACATTATTCTATTTAATTATTGCAACAGCCCGTTTAATAAGTTGTATTGCATTTTTCAGTTGAGCAAACTCATGTTTAGAGAGACATAAATTATTTAAGGAGGCACAGCTTGAGCCTAAGATCTTCTGAAACCCAGTATTATTTGTGCTATTTGAAACATGTGAAGTTTGCAGTAGTCTTTTGTTACACCTGGCTTTTTGCATTATTCTCTTTACAGCGCGGAAGGCAGTCATGTGTCAGGACAGAGCAATGGCCGGGATCCTCAGGCCTTGGCCAAGGCTGTGCAGATTCACCACGATACCCAGCACACAATGTATTTTGCCTGAGAGTCTCAGAAAAAGAACTCAATCAATTTGACACCCCATGCAGCCTCAAAATGTTTCAAATGCCTACCGCCTCTAGAGAGAGCCAAGTTGACTTCAGGTGGTCTACCAGCAGCTCGGAATAGTTGCACTGAATCTATACTTCACAGCACTGTCTGATGCATCAACAAAATTGAGCCATTTTTTAAAAGTAATAGATACTCCTAGATTGTCTTCTCTGATGCACTGGACTGAATTTTTACCTCATCATGCAAAGGCTGATCAGCCTGAACTTCCTTAAGGACTTTACAAGAAAAGGTTTCTATGGAATATTTTGCTAGCTGTGGTGTTCCCCGCATCCCTCTAGTCTTCTAAGAGACGATTATTCCTTGTTTTCTGTATTCATTGAGTGGGGTGTATGCGTAAGTGGGAGAGAAAAACCAAACAATCTACTTCAGTTCAGCGTAACTGTTTTAACTGTGGGGGTCCATAGACTTTTTAATGGAGATTTCTGACTTCGCCACTGTAAATGCCTTTAACGAGCATTAACTTTTGAAAGTTTTACAGAGTTTTGTTAGTTTTCCTACTTTATCTTCTTGATCTCTACAGACTTGTGCTGTGCAAATACAGGCTGCCAGGCGATTGCACTATGTTTGGCTGCAGATGCAGAACAGGCAGCTCTCTTATTTGGTTGGCTTTTGTGAATGTGTAACACAAACAGATGTAATGCATGTCACGGTGACAGATAACACTGCCATGGTAAGAGTACTCCTGTTTCCCCCCTCTTTGAAAAAAAAAAAATTAGCTTTTAGTATTTTTCAAAGTTTTCAAAAGTGCCCATTTTATGCTGCTGTGTGGTTTGTTAGATCTAAATGATTTTTAAACTTTTCTCACAGAAAATTAACTTTGGCAATAAACATTTTTTAAGGTCCCTTTTCTTCCTCCCCCTGACAATGTAGTTTTCTAGATGAGATTTCGGTATGATTTTATCAGCTATTTCTTATAGGTCATAATCTGGCAACTTCTGAAACTGGTCAGACAAGACATATATTTCCATGGCTTTTTAAAGAATTATTTTTATCTGTTTTATAGTCACAGTTGGTGTCCTGTCACTTTGTTTTAAAATAAGCTAGAACCAGGACGCTTCCTTATCGGATAGGCTTTGCCAGTCCTTAAGGTACATTGAGCGATGCTGCAACTTGCACAGATGTACCAGCATTTAAAACTGTTTTTCCCGGGAATCAAGGTTACTCACACAATTATGTGCAGTGCAAATTTTTTTGCTTCTCTTTCAACCTGAAATGTATTTGGTGGGGTTTCCCTCCTTTCACTAAACTAAAACTGCATTTATAGAAGAAAAGTTTGACTTTTCTTAACAGAGTCTAGATTCCGATCACAAGGAGATGAGTTACTTTCTTGGTCCAGACAAAGGGAGCTGATCTAAAGCAAGCATCAGTGAACATGTAGGGGAAAGGAAAGTGTATTTTGTATTTAGTGTAGATAACACTTTGTGAATGGACAACAGTTACATAGAGTCTTGGTAGTTCCAGCCAGTGTTTCCCAGCCCAAATTTTACTGACTTGTGATTCTCTCTCTGGGAACCTCAGAAGTGAAAGCTGGAGAAGGGTATAAAAGCCCTAGAACCACACTCCGTATGGCTGAGGCAGGTGCTGGGGGAAGAGACAGACACAATGTGGTAAAACGATTTTGCCACCTCTGTCTGGAAACTGCTGGTGGGGAAACACTGGATCTGATGGTGAAGGGTGTTTGCTTGAACTCATTAGCCGGTCCAAATCTCTTAAACTAGCCTTCTCAAAATCCCAGCAATACAAAGCACTGTTTTTCTTCAGTCTTTTAAAGAAGCTTGTAAATACATTGAAGTTTACATTTCCATGTGCTGTTGATCGGTGGCGCCACCAGTATTTGCTAAGACTGGTCTCTGAGAGTTTTATAACGTATACTGAGTCCTGTAGCTCATTAAGATGACTGCAGACATCCTCATTCTCTGCATATAGTGGGATGAAAGCAAGCTCTGTAACTGAGGCACAACATAGGCAGGAGCGAAGAGATGGCAGATGTTAATTTCTTAAGATTTTCCTTTTCTGCAAATACCTCACTTGGATACTACAAATCAGGACATGTTGGTGAGGGGCTGGCTGCTGCTTTTATTCACACTTGTTCAGGGAGAGCTCAGAAAAATAAATACCCTTCAGCATGGCTACCCTGGACCCAAGAGGAGGAAAAACAGAAACTTCTTTAGGAGAAGGAGGACTTACTGGCGTCCAGGATGTGAAGGACTCTTGGTGGCTGGCTGGCTGGCCAGCAGGCACCACACCTGCACTTGAGTGCCTCCGGCTTGCTTGTTAATAATGCACAGAAGAAGTGTCACTTCTCACCATCTCCTGCACGTATGGAGCAGGGAGCGAGGCGGAATGCCGGGAAGCCCTGATTTACTTGCCGGCAGTCGGGCTGTATGCTTGACCTTGAACTATACAGTTTGTACAACCTCAGTCAGTCCTATACACTGGGGCAAATCAGTGTGGTGGTGGAGGAAAAGCCGGGAGGCCTATTTTTATAGGAAACAGTACCTTTAAGGGGGCAAATGCTGTAGTTTTGGATGAAAGGAAAAAAAATATGGAAGAACTAGGATAATTGGAAAAAACTTGCTGGCGGGGGTGGGGGGGGGACGGTGAATCTTTAAGAGGTAATCGCTTCAGAATCAGAGTTGCAGCAATACTGTTGCAAGCAAGTCTAAATACATAGTTTCAATTTGGCTTGACAATTTGAATATGATAACCCCTTTGGACTGACTGAATCGTTATGCATGTGTCAATCAATGGGAGGTGTGCATTCTCTAGAAGTAGATTTACTGTTTGGTTTTTTAAAATGCAGCCTGTTTAGGCACTGTCATGTGGTGTGAAAGATTGAAATGTAGCAATGCTAAAGAGTAACAATTAGGGGATAAGGCACGGGGATATTAAGAGAATGGTGAAGATCCAAATGTTGAACTGATTATGTTTTGTTGTTATTGTTGTTCGCTGTTGAACCCTGAGTGGTTGATAAGGTGAACTAGTGGCGTAATGCAGCCAGCAGTCTGGGCAGGCAGAACATATTCATTCTTACTGTAAATTCTATTTGCTGCTTCCAAAGGTGATGATTTATAAGCAGACATGTTCTATATGGTCTGTATTTTAGGATCTGGCACCCAGACTATATCAGAGCTTATCTACCTGGCTCAGCTATCTACCCTTCCTGTGGGAAAAGGCAATCCACTGTTTAAGAAGGCTCACTCTCTCTGCCCTGCCCTAGCAACCCTTTGTGGATGTGCTGTAAGATTTTCTTGCTCAATAGCAAGGTGGTAGCTCTGCTTTCATTTTAAGAAAGTAGAGGCTGAGGGCATTGTGTCAATACTGCTTCAACTCCAAGGATTTTTCCTTGTAAAATTAAAGGGAAGATCTTGTTATTGATTAACCATTTTCTTATCCCTTGCTATTGACATTCATGCTCTTTCTATGTCTGGTGGCTGAAAATGTTTGCATTTGTTCATTTGACTAATGGTGTAATTTTGGTTTCTATATTGTTAGACCTGTAATGTTTTAAAATGTATTTTATTAACTCTGGACTGGATGTATGTCTCTAGCAATACGAGGTACTTTCTAAACTATTAAGGGAGGGGTGGTATCCCCATGTTAAGACAAGATGATGGTTGTTTAAATTTTGCATTTTTTTTTTTTTTTTGGCCTGCAGGGATATTTTGTGTTCATGTGTCCAAAAGAGAATAAATTGGCATTCTTGTGCCAAAAGTTGTTTTTTGTTGTCAAATTTCAAATACATATGGAGTATACTGTAATGGAAACAGACATGGTTGCTTTTTAAAAACAATTTCCTCCATTTAAGAAGTTTGAGAGAGAACAGAGGGGAAACTTAGTGTTTTTAACTCCTGAGTCTCCCTATCTCTAGAAATTGATACTTGGGGATTTGGGAAGAGCTTCTGAGCAAAATTTCACATATGAAAACTTTTATAAGATTCATCAGGTTCTCAGGATAGCTCTTAACAGGAAAATCTATTTGAGTGAAGTTTTGAGAAAAATCTGCAGTCTCCAGAGGGCAGTACAGCCACATACTTTAAGACTAACTTTTTGAGAGGAGGAGCTGTCTAAATTCCCCCAACCTGTGGCTATCCAGTCTTAAGTCCTTAAAAAATTCTCACCACATTTGGGTGAGTCACAGCAGGGATAATGCAGAGATTTTCACAATATGGTACTTATTTTCAGGGAATTTATGGTTTACCAGAGGGACAAGTTCTGCATACAACACACTTTACTACAGGTAGTTGTTTTTTTCCATCAGCACAATATCCCCCTCTCCCCATTTACCCACTGTCAAACATTTATCACAAACTCAGTACATGCCAAACTCTGCCTAGATGCCAGGAAAATAGAAGAGTAAGAACTTAATCCTTCAAAGAGTTCATTCCAATATAGCATGGGGTAAGGGAGGCAGTGAGATTAACATTATCTGAGTGCCTAGTATAACCAGTCAGTTTATATTGACGTCTTTACTTCCAGTGACAGTCCTTTCACGCTGATAACAGTATCCCTTTTTTGAAGATGAGGAGTCCGCTTCAAAAAAGATAAATAACACACAGTCCCTGGATGGCACAGGCCTGTCTAATTATTACCCCTGTGGTTGAGCACAAAATGACAGGAACTTAGAAGGAGAAACAACTTTTGCTATGGGGAGTCAGGAAAGACTTTACAGTGGTGGTGAATTTGGGGATAGGTCACCAGGAGTTTACCAGATGGACAAAGAGGATGAGGGGATTCTAGACACACGATTCCCATACAGCAGATTGTGGTAGCTGCATTTTTTGTCTAAGTGCTTTCCCTTACTCCTCCTTTGGGTAATGGAACATCTCCTGTGGGAATCTCATTATTTAGTGTGTTTCAGGTAAGTCTAAATGACCTTCCCACCTTGTCCCCCACCATATGTGTCATGTTCCTGTCCATTCTTGAATCAGTCAC